ATCCGTAGGGACAAGAACGAAAACAACGTCGAACGTGCGCCGGATTCTGCAATCACAGAAGACTTTCAGGAACTACCTAGATGACGAGGAGGCTGCGTTGGCACAGGCCGCTTCGACAGGTGCTTCGGGAGGGATACAGCGGGTAGCGTCGAATAGAGTGGCGAAGCCTGCTTCGTCGCGACAGAGCTCCACGCCAACTACCACGCCGAGGGCTGATCAGGCGCGGGCGAAGAAAGATTCTCTATCCACCCGTAAACCACCCGATAATGTCCCCTCCGAAACCGAAAACGAAACTCAGCCCCAGCCCCAGCCCCAGCCTATACAAGAAGCAGAGCAACAAGAATCCGCTTTAATACCATCCAAATACGACAACGATCCGCTTCTCAAGTCATATATTCCACCTGCGCCGTCAGAACGCATAATGCGCGCCCTTCTTGCCGAACCGCCGCTCACGTATAATGCTTCGCGCGCGGGTCCACCATTAACTGGAAGATCGGCGAGGCGGTTTTGCTGTATCTGTGGATATTGGGGTAAGATACGGTGTCGTGGATGTCATCAAAGAACCTGTGGGATGATGGAGTGTTATAAGACGCATCAGGATTCGAGGTGTGGTGCCTTCTTTTAGGGGTCTGAAATGTCGGCAGGGAAAAAAAAACGAACGCCATGATATGTTGTCATTGAAAAGGTCTTGAAGAACTGGTCTATATAACTAATAAGAGAGGAGATACCCGCCATGCAATGCTTTTGAAATGCCCCGTTTCAACACCATCAATGCAAATCCGCTTATCCGATCCAGCAGATGATACACAAGAAAGAACCCCCGACTTAGACGGCCTCAGACTACCTCGTTTCTCTCCCAACCGATGGTTTTCAAATTCGCAAGCCCCTTAGTAGGGTGTGGTTTGGCCGGATCTTTATACTTCACCGCATAAGGATTCGGGTCGGCGCCTTGGTTCAGGTTCCCAAGCGTATGGTTGACCTCACGGTGTTTGGCCTCATCTGCGCGAATATACAGCAGCAGGTCTTTGATGGTCCGGTTTCCTTCGGGCATCTTCCAGTACTGGACTGCAATTTCAGGAGCCTCCAGCTTTTCCCACTCGGGAAGATTGCCATTCTCTAGATCTTTGATGGCTCGTGTGTAGGTGATGACGGCTTCTTCTTCAAGATAGCCGACGAACCGGTGGCAGGTTCGTGGTGAGACAAGATAGGAGAGGAAGAAGCCGTTGAAGAACACTCCTTGGGCCCCGAGAACCATCAACCTCATGAACCAACCCGGTTCAGCAAGCTTGAGGAAAGTGAGGAGGTGCATTCTTTCATTGTAACTCTCCTCCAACAGTGTTTCGATCCTGCTCGAGACGTTAGCTGTTACTACAACTCATTCAAGCTTGCATCTAAATAGCGCACCATCCATTGTCCCGCCTCATACGCCTCAAACTCCTCAGATGCCTTAGCATACCTCCAACCATGCCCGGTACACCAGCAACGCTCTCCAAGAAGACGAATCTCGCCAACCACTTCTTCTCCGTCATTTGGAATTTCGCCTCATGGTCCCTCCCTTGCGCGGGATGTTTATAGCCGGTGACCAAATCCATCCCCCATCTCAGCAGGCGGACGGTCCCCAGCGCAACCCAGTCCGACCAGTTCTTGGCTTCTCGGTGGCCGACCTCGACTTTGCGCATCTCTTCAACGGTGTACCTATTTCACTGTCAGCTCAGCCTTCCTCTTCATCGGACTAAGCTTACACTGGATGAACCCATGCCGTCTCCACCTCCTTCACTTTCGGCGCATCGGGAGGAGGAAAGTAATCCTTGATCTGGGTCTGTGGCGTGGATGAAATGAACCGTTTCGCAGGCTGTCGGTGCGAGTACCTGTTGGCGAGGAGCGGGCTACCGCATCGTCGAAGTCCTGCCGTAGTCATGCCCTTTGTGCAGAAGGTTTGGATCATGAACTGCAGGTGGTGCTTTGGTAGAACAGCCACCCTGATGGGCGCCGTGCTTGCTAGCGAGTTCATAGCTTTGGATAACAGAATGGTTGGTACCCGTCAGTGTGTGGGTGTAATCTTTGTTGAGTTGATAGTAGGAGTAGTAAGGTAGTAAATCCTTGCTTTGTATGTAAAAACCAATGCTGATGTTGATGGGAAACTAGCAAGAACAGCGTCTGCCTGACAATTTAGATTCCTTGTATTTATATCCACCGTACTCTCCTACATAGTACCTAAGAAAACAAAGAGCCCGGCCTATAGAAATCTTCTCAGTCATCCCAAGGCAAAAACCCGGAACCAGCCCGGGCACCAGGGTGAGGGTCACACGGGCCGAAAGAAGTGAAATTTCTTCATTATTTCACCGAACTATGAATCCAGACCCCATATTTCCCGGTGGCTGAGGGAACTTGTCTCAGGGAATGATGGAATTTTTTCCACGCGTCGGAGACCGATAGGTGCAGTAGTGAGATCCTCAGGAACCCTCAGGAACCACCTGCACTTCTCCCAGGGGACCACCGCCGTCAGGACGCGTATTTCTATTGTTACAAGGTACGAAGCCTTACGAGGGACGAAACGAGATGCTGCGCAATATCTGGTGGTAAAAGTCATCTGGGTTTAAGGTGAGATGTATGTAGAAGGGTGGTATAAGCTGCACAGAACTAGAATCAGCTCAGACTTGCTTCCCATTGATTTTATTCTTTGCTGGGTCTTCTGCTGAGCGAGAGGTGAAATACAGCGGCGTAATCTCAATACGTATTTCTGGCAACTGCAGTGCCCCATGTGACCGCGGAGGAAGCCGGGAGGGGATTTGAAGGCTGACTCACGGGATACCGAGAATAAATCGGCTTCTCTCGGTGACATTGACGTCAGTGGATGGATTAGGTTATTTCGAAGGCGCAAGGAACCTAAGTTAGGACGGGCATTTCAAGAAGGATTGGAAACACGGTCTCTCTGGTATTATCTATGAGATGAAACAGGCCAGACGCTCCTAGTAATAAGTAAATTGCGCACAGTGCTGGGCCCGGTGATCATGCGATGTGCGTTGGATGAGCAGGTAGAGTAGGTAGAAGCTTGATCATTCAACGACCAGGTCAGAGTGAATCGAATACGGACTCGGATGTCCTTCTGACCCCAAAGTGGCCATCGCCACTGTCAGTCGTAGACAGGGTCTTTTTCTCCAGCTTCACCACATGCGCTAGTCGAGGACCTTTGTCGAGATCTTTGAGAAGCTTCTGGATGGCGTCTTCGGGGCCTTGTGCTTCCCCTTCAACCTGGGGGTAAATTAGCGAACCAAGCACCGACTACTCTGGGGAAATTATAGAAGAAGCCTGCTATACATCACAGGTTTTCCAATGGCCAGGTAGGGCTAAGCGATGAGAAAGTGCTGGGTAACTTACTCTTCCGCAATTCGTATTTCCGACCCAGCCTGCTAGGCCGTATTCAGCAGCGCGTTTCTGGGTGAAGTCCCTATTGTTTTATATCAGCTTTAGCAATTCAGACTGGGAGACGACTATGCTTACCGAAAGCCAACACCTAGAGTTATTTGTTAGCATGTGCTCGCAGCACAGCGCGAGATCATATTGACTCTATTGAGGGAACACTCACCCTGGACTGTGCCGTGGACTTTGAATGCGATCTGAGAACATCAATAATGTTGACCAGAAACTTCCCATAGTGCAGAGGTCAGGAGATTGACGTACCCTTTGTGCTGCCATCTTCGAAATACAGAGTGATAAATGCGGACGATGATGATGGTATGGTTTATTGGTGAAGCTGTCCACGGTATAACCTAGTAGGTATGAGCTGCCGATTAAAAAGGGTGCCCCACTGCGGGGCTTCCTCTGCCCACAGAACCTGGGACTCGACCAAGGTATAAAAGTCCTACCACCCCGTCCATATTATTTTTCTTCTTCTGAGTTTCTACCTATGTCCTTCCTTCACTTAGAGTTTTGAATTTTACTCTCAGGCTTGCTTTTTACTACCCAAGGCAGGTCACCTTGCCTTATGATTCGACAATTGACTATGTATACTCGAGATAAGTATTAGGTCCATAGTTCTTCAATATTTAGAGGCTGAAATTACGAAGCACTACAGATCAGTTTCGGCGGCCTGGTGCAAAGTCGGTCTCGATGAGAGAAGCAATTGAACGAAAAGAAAAGGCTGCCTTACTCAATCGGGCTCCGTTGTGTTTCCGCTACACAAACTCGAGGCATCTACACTGTGTTTTTATTTTGATGACATATTGATGGCCCCTACTCTGAGTTCCTTGGCGGGCGGACCAAAAGAAAAAGAATTTTGCCGGGTCTGGTATCCACCCAGATCTGCCGGTCCTGAGTACTGCTCCTGCCCTGCCAGGTCACGGTTCCGAGCTGATATACTTCCATTACACTTCCCGGAGATATCCTGGACTTAGCAGACTTTGATTCCGGTGTTAACCGGACATTATTCGGTTAGTAAGGAGGACAAAAAAAGATTACCGGGTCTGGGATTCGAACCCAGACCTGCCGGGCCCCTACAGAGGACTTTGCCTCTCATGGAGTTGACCCCGGCCGTGCGACGTTTTCCATTACACTAACCCGGCCATTATGCAGAATATACGTTAGTTTTGAAGATAACCGATGGTGTCGAGTTGCTTTTGACTTTTGCATCCTTTCTTGCTGGTGATAGTGCAGCCTCTCCAATATTTTTGCGCCGATTTTGCTCTCTAGGCTGGAGATACTCTGCTTGAGGCCTACCAGGTAGTTTCTTCGAATAGGCCACTTATTTTCAATTGTTATAAATACATAAGCAAGCCAAAATGTTGCTATTTCTGCGAGGCAGATATACTCTCCGCTGTAGCAGTCATACCTTCCTTAAATCTGCCGCTATTCCAGGCCTGACGTGTTGCGTTCCACCAACTCGAGAATTGATTGATGCGCACTGCCACACTCGCCTTGTACTCGTTCCCATCGTCGGTAACTGTATGAGCTTCTTCGGTCTCTTCCCTGGCCGAAGTGCTTGTATAGTGCGGCTCTTCGTATGGCGTTCCCGTTCAGGGATTCGGGCCGCTGCTTGGCGTCCAAGGTGGATCTGGTGGGTCAATGCTGCGAGACCCGACTGTCCATAGATGGGTGGAGTCTGGATACGACTCAACTTCTCAAGTTGAGGTCTCTGGCAATTCTCAACTCCCTGAATGTGGACAAAGACAGTATTCTGGCTCATGCACGTGGCCTATCTGAAAATTTAGGCGGTAACTTGAACAGGGAGTGTCGTATCCGGAAGGGAGGTTGGCGATGCATTTGGATGGACAGGAAAGCAGGTGGAAAGTCGGGTGTTTTCTTGAAAAGGCGGTGGTGGGTATTGCTTGGTGAAAAGTTGTCCTGTCCGACTCTCAAATGGCTGGGCTAGGGAGAATTCCAGTTTCATCTAAGAAGTAGTTGACACTGCCCTGTTGTTGTACTACTGCTTCCTTTCAGTATCTTAGTTCTTGAATCATTACAATAAAATTGGAACAAAACTAGAGGCTTTTCTTGCTTTTCTTTAACCTTTCTCTGCGGTCGAGCGGTAAACAAGTGACGAGTCCGAAGATGAATGAAAGCTTGTGTGTTTATATCTCTCAGTAGCTGATCTCTTAAAAGTCTACCTGAACATATAAGGGTACTGTAGTTAGGTGATTGTTCTGGTAGATACATAAGAACCAGGCACTATACCTGGGCTTCTAGTACTAATAGTCAAGTATAGCACCTAGCCATACCAGTAAACCGGCCTTGATCCATGGATGAATCGGATATGCTGAATATGAAGGTGACCTACTTCAAATTCCTCTACCTAACATAGCCCAGTAAAAAGGTATTATTTGACAAAGCTTGGCTTTCCATATGGTTTTATAATTTCTCCGGAATGGTACCCAGGTAGTCTTCTGGACTGCCGGTGAGCTAGCTCTTTCTCTTCCAGAAGAAAGTGAGAAATTATGTGGGTATGTTAATCTATCTTTCAGCCTGCTAGATAACACGCTAGACAAGGTTTGAGGATTTGGCGTTCAGTATTCCTGCTGATCCCAGAATTGGGAGTGGAGATATCGGTATATATATATATGTATATATATATATATATATATCAAGGTCTAGTTGAAAAGGCTCACTTCATTCAGCTCCTGTTAATCGATTCACCTTCTATTACCTTGTAAATCCAACAAAGCACTCGGAGTAATCTATTATTGGGCACTGTCTGCCAAAACCTCGAGATTAACAGTTCAAGGAAATAGTATTAGCAGTAGTATCATGCGGTCATTGGCGTACAACGCGTATACGGTCAGTAGCAGCGATCGGAAGAGACAGAAACGATGAATAAACATACCTAGCGAGTTTCAAATTTGAATATACCCAGGATGTCTTCGAGTCAGGCCATAAAGCAGTCAAGACCGACTGTAGTTAGTAGAGGTATACGAATTACTATGGAGCCGTGGTGGTGTTGACCTCGGCGAAATTTCCGCCCCTGGATTTGAGCTCTCCACAATCATTTGTTTCTCCCTCAACTCTCCCGCCCGCGTCCCCTTAAGACCGCCAGGGCCCCATGCCATGCTGGTGCTAAGATGATCCCCTCATTTCTCTCCTGGCTTCGGCGCCTCTACTCGCTAGATACTTTGGACACGCGATTTACCGTCCCCGCCAACACTCCCGTCAAAGTCATTGCTGAGGACACGCGATCCGGTTCCGCGAAGGCTGCCCGCTCCAATGCAGTCGCCGACAGTGCCTCCCCTGCTAAATGGGGTACTCTCGAGTTCTATGTCTACTACATTATTTTTCTGATGGCTGTTCCGCTGATGTTCAAGACTGTGGTCGATGTGTCGCAAGGTGTGTCTGCCCGACCTCAAGCGAGGGAGGCAACCGAACTAACGAGTGTCAGAATCGCATCCTACTTACCCGACATACTCTCACCTGCTAGAACCGGGATGGATTCCAGGACGGAAAGTTGTGAGTCTCTGTTGGCGCGTGGTTTTTGAAAGAACCGATCATTGACGTACACTCTTTACCTTGTAGGACAACTCTGACGCACAGTACTCAAGCTTCCGTGATAATATTCCCTACCTCCTTACGCTCCTAGTGGCACATCCACTGCTTCGTCGCGTATATGAATACTTCACCTGTCCATCCGGTCCATCCGCAGCGAATAATGTCACCTCCGTCGCCGCCGCGGGAACCGCCCGACTTGAGCGACGCATGCGATTTGACTATTACTTCGCCCTAGCCTTTATAACGGCGCTCCACGGCGTATCGGCGGCCAAGATCTTGGTTATCCTTTATGTAAACTACAAGATCGCCAAATCCCTTCCAAGGGGATACATTCCCGCAGCTACCTGGGCCTTCAACATTGGGACGCTATTCGCCAATGAACTATGCGGTGGCTATACACTTCAGGGAGTAGTTGCCCTCTGGACGTCTACGGCCGACACCCCTTTGATGCTCTGGGCCAAGTATTTAGACAGCTTTGGTGGTCTGATGCCGCGATGGGAGGTCCTCTTCAAGATCACCATACTACGGCTGATCAGCTTCAATATGGACTATTACTGGAGTCTTGACTATCCTGCTGCCAGCCCCGTTGAAGTAAGTATCTTTTGCTCCAATGCCATAAAACCTTCTGACAGCCATAAGAAGAAACAACTCGATCCGGCAGCACTCTCGGAGCGGGACCGGGTCAAGATCCCCGCGGAAAATTCCGCTTTTAACTGTCGTAATTACCTTGCATATATTCTTTACTCTCCTCTTTACCTTACAGGCCCAATTGTGACGTTCAACGACTACATTTCTCAACAGAGGTACCCACCGCAGTCCCTGACGAAAACCCGCACCATTCTCTACGGGACTCGTTTCTTCATCACTCTGCTCGCCATGGAACTCATCCTCCACTTCACGTACGCGGTTGCAATCTCCAAGTCGTCGCCGAACTGGTCTCTCTACACCCCCGGACAGCTCAGCATGCTTGCATTCTTTAACCTCCACATCATCTGGCTAAAACTGCTTATTCCCTGGCGCTTCTTCCGCCTCTGGGCTCTCCTTGACGGCGTCGACCCACCAGAGAACATGGTCCGCTGCGTGTCAAACAACTACTCTGCCTTTGCGTTCTGGCGCGGCTGGCACCGCTCTCTCAATCGATGGGTAGTCCGCTATCTTTACGTTCCCCTAGGCGGAGGCAGTAACCGCCCAACAAGCGGCAGTAGCAAGGCGCCTTCATCCACACTCTACGCCAAAGCGCGCCAGATTTTCAACTTCCTGGTTGTCTTTACCTTTATAGCTCTTTGGCATGATATAAACCTCCGTCTCCTGATGTGGGGGTGGCTCATCACTCTGTTCGTCCTACCGGAAGTCATCGGCACTTTACTTTTCCCGGCTAGCCGATGGCGCGCTCACCCAAATGCCTATCGCGTTATTTGTGGGGTTGGAGCGGTAGGAAATATCCTGATGATGATGATCGCCAACCTTGTTGGGTTTGCGCTTGGCGTAGACGGAGTGAAGGATCTTCTTTCCGAACTGTTAGGGAGCTATGCGGGCCTGGTATATCTTGTTTCGGCTTGCTGTGCCCTATTTGTTGGTGTACAGGTGATGTTCGAAATTCGAGAGGAGGAACTTCGTGCGGGAATACGGATGAAGTGCTGACTTACTTGCAAGTGATTTTGGGAATTGGGATGGACATAACTATATACATACATACAATAAAGCAAAGAATTATTAGATCTTGCAGGATATAACGATCCATTTTTGTCACAGCCGGTCTGTCATCTGTCTTCATCCATCCATTCTGAGCATCCCTGTCGTAGCGTCCGTCCCGGGTCTCCGATCTATCCATGGATCTTAGTCTTGCCCCTGTCCCGTCTCCGGAAAGCCACTATGGTGCCTTGGTGTTGGGGGCGGAAGGGAATCAATCCCTCGGTTGACAGGATCATCTGACATAGGCGAAAGTTAAGACTAAGTTTGCATTGAGCCCTCGAGGCTAGAGGGGAATAATCAGGGGCATATCACATCAATTCAGAAAAAAGAAAAGCCCCAGAATCCCAGCGCTCCACACAAAGCCAAGCCCAACACCCCCGAAATACCACCCACAATCGCTCTCCGCACCGGGGGAGCAGAGTTCTCATCATCCCTATTCTCCTCAGGACAATCTTCTGGCGGGTTCAGCATATGTCTGCAGAGCCAGGCCTTGTGCAAAGCCTGCATACTCTTAGCCACAGTATGATTAATATCTACCCTGTACAGATCTGGGACTGTAGTAATAGAAGTTATAACAGCACAGGTGTAGTTTATAGTTTGCCGGGCATTCTAGTTAATATAGTAAGATAAGGGCATGGTTTCAGGTATATTAATAGCAGGAGCAGAGTCTGAATTCATATTAGGGCAGGAATCTTCAGAGATAATAGATATAAGATCTATATCTACGCTATCTGCCATATCCTGAACAGCAGAGAAAATAGAAAAGCTTATGCTATTAGAAAGTATTTAAAAGATTATGCCCCTACTCTTAAAACCCTCTTTGTCACACGAGCACTATACAAAGTACAGATTAATGGAGGACAGATTTTTATATTAGAATTTATCAAAGCTGGTGCGG